AAAAAGCGACTCCGAGACCGACTGAGAGCAGAGCAGGAGTTTAAATTAGCTACTCAACCACCGCTGTGTTCATGAGAGGCTTATTAATAATCGAGAAATAAATATCAAGCCTGGAAACATGATATTGTAACGGACTGAATGTTGTGTTTTTAATGTAATCTCTGCTCGGCTTGCGGGCGCAGGCGGTTGCCACGGCAACAGGTGTGCTTAAACTACAAAGAGACAAAGTAAAAAGGTAGGAGTGGTTTTGATTTGATCGTCTGTTCGGGTTGTTTTACCTTTGTTTACCTTTGCTGTGGCTCATTACACCTGCTGTAGTTTCTGAACTTTCAATAAACAATAAACTTGGACTAATTACCTCGTTCGTTTGTGAGCATACGTCACAACAAACATCAAATTGGACAAATATATTTCATTGAGTTTTAACTAATTCTACAGCGACAATTATGTGAAATTAAATTAATTATATCCCAATTTCCGAAGATTTGCCTTTACCTTTTCTGGGCTCTTTGATTAGTTTCTCATATTGAGGTCATCAAACCAAATTTCAGATCTACCATGACTGACTGACACCTGCTGGTTTGCAACCAGCTTCTGACTGAGAAACCAGTAACCTGCTCCCAGTGTCAGAATGTCACTGAGGAAGGAACTGCATTAGGTTTTCTGTCACTTTATTATTTCTGCTATAACTTATGTATATTTGCATATAAAATAAGTCAATAGAGTTTAATTTGCAATTTTTATGTCTTTGTGTCATGAGGTAGATCTCAGGCGGCTGGTGAGAGAAAAAGTAGATCTTGCTCTGAAAAAGTTTGGGCACCCCTGTTTTAAAGGCATAGTATGTCATGATCCGTGTTTCTGTGTGTTTATTTTTGAGTTCTTTTTCTGTGTAGTCCTGTTCCCTGTGAGTCTGTCTCTGCGTCTTACCCGTTGATTGTTTCCCAGGTGTGTCTCATTCCCTTGATTACCCCATGTGTATTTAAACCCACCTGTTGTCTTTGTCTCTCGTCGGATCCTTGTCCTATATCATGTTTTGCCTGTTTCCCTGAGTGAGATGTGCCTCGTGCTGTTCCCTGTTGTTTGGAAGTCATCATTAAATTCATTCATCTTCATCTTTCCTGGGTTCCTGCGTCCTCTCCTCTCCTCACCTCAACCACCATACAATTCATGACACAGTAATCGTATTGCGTTTACTCTGTCATTATTCTGGAAATGTATTTAGCAAATGTTCTTAGATATACGTTAATAATACTATCATCCTAAATTACATAAACCAAACAGAATTTTGTATGATTTCAATGTCAGACCGTGAGAAGCATTATTTGTGTCTTTTTATACACTTTAAATATCTGGTTTCAACTGTGTGTTTTATTGGGCTTTTTAAATCTTCTATTGAATTTATGTTTTAAATTAAAAATTCTGAAAATATGAAGATTTTGACCCACAATGTGTCCTTGTTCACATCCTCGTCATTTTCTCCGAGCCCCTCTAACGTAACATCTTCTTCCCGCCCCCTCCCCTTAGCAACAGGAGCAACATGGCGGCGTCCAGTAACGCGGAGCCCTCTCCGGAGATAACGACACCATTAAAGATACCGAAAACCGAGGTGCCATCTCCCGAGTCCGAGGACTTGAGCGACAGCATCCAATACCACTCCAATCCTTCGACACCGAACCGCTTCTCGCCTCTGAACGTGGGTTCTGGAACCGCGGGGCGGACGGCGGCCTCATCCTCCTCTAACAGCTTCACCGCCTGCCGGGGGATGTCATGGACGCCGTCCGAGACAAACGCCCTCATCGCGGTGTGGGGCAACGAGAGGCTCACGGAGGCGCGGATGCAGCAGCTGGAGGTCGCGGGCACCGTGTTCTCCGGGAAGCCGCCCGGTCCTGCCATGTACGAGCGAGTTTCCAGAGCGCTGTCGGACCTGGGGTACGAGAGAACCCCGTCCCAGTGCAGGGAGAGGATGAAGGTAAGGGAACCATGACAGCAAGATGTCACTGTCACGACTCCAACCTGTTACCATGACACCAAACTGGGTCCGCTGACAGCTTAGAGCCGTGTCACACTGGGGACATCTTTCATCACAGAACACCTCCTTAAAATCTGTTGTTGTTTTTGGTAATGTATCATAAACTGGGAAATATAAAGTGTTGCTTTATCTTGTATTATATAAATAAATCTTTAGATATTTAGGCCCAGATAAGCCATCAGAGCAACGTCAGACACTTTATAAGTGCATAATGGTTGCTAGATAGAGTTTTTCTATCTCTTGCTTCAAGCTTTGTTACAAAGAAGATACTTACTATTTTATGCTTTCATTCATACAGCTACATAGATCTATCCCCAGTCAGCTGGGTGAGTAATGTGTCCTTTGAAAACTAAAATCCTCACTGCTCCTCCGTCCCAAACAGACACTTAGGCGCTGCTACAGCCGAGTGAAGGAGCATGGGATCGGGAAGAGAAAGAGCAGCTACACCTTGGAGCAGCTGGAGAAGGTGTTCGGTCAGGGAGGCTGGGACTCTCAGAGCTGTGCCCCGGTGCTGATCAACAGCAGCGGGTTGTATCAGGAGATGGAGTCTGACGGCAGCACGCTGGAGGACTTCTCCCAGGAGGACTGGTGCAACCAGGTGCTGGACTCGGCCTTCCAGGAGGGAGACATGGACACCGGTGAGATCCGTTTGTATTTATGAAAAAGTCATTGTGACAAAATGGGTTGGATGATATTAATAATCTCATTATTTATTTTTAATCCCACATTTTTCCTCTGGTTTAGAAGACCTACAGGTGCCTAAAAGCAGAGCTCTACAGATTCAAGCAGAATTGTCTGAATTAACCCAGTAAGTTTTTTTTTTTTTTTTTTTTTTTTTTTTTTGAATAAAGCCTGTTTTTTTTTTGTTTTTTTTTTTACTTTAGTAAATCATAAAGTCATAAATTTCCATATATCTCTTCACTCAGAATCTGGGTATTAGATTTTTTCACTGGATTCTTCAACCAAACTGTTCCAGGTTCAGTGTTCACTTCTGTGCACTCATAGTAGCAGCACTTATGTTTTCTTACAATTTTTAAAATCCGCTCATCAGCCAAACTACAGCGTTCCAAAAGTATTCCCACCTCTTGAAAATACAAAGATATTTTTAACTTTTTTCACAATTTGTCATGATGTGACCTCAAACTTCTATGTATTGATGAAGCGGAACTGATTTCCGTAATTTTGGAAGATCGGCAGCTTGGATGTGAAGCCGATCTGATCTGCTTCCTGACAGACGGACCCGCCCACCGAGTCCCGTCTGCACCTGCGTAATTAACAAAATTCACCTCGCTGTTGCCATCTTAGCAGCTTTGTTGTTATATTTAGTAGGAATGCATATCATAGCGGCAGTAACATCGGTATTGGCCGATATTAGCAATTTTTTAACCTAAAGCAGAGAAGCAGGGGTGAAGTCGGCAGCGTCATAAAAGCAATATTAAAACTGGATACTGGCACAAAGTTTCATATCGGTGCAGCCCTGATACTGAGCAACTTTTAAGACAAAAAAATGGGTATCTGGAAAACTGCAATCGGTGCACCCTCTAATTTTAAGTGAAAGAGGAGCACACACTGGAAGAGAATAAATTGGATTTCTAAATATTTCTCAAATAAAATAAAATAAAAAATCTCAGAATGTTTATATTCAGCCCCCCTTTACTTCAGTACCCCAAAAGTAAATGCCCTAACTGGGTAATAAAGTTTAGCCGTGTGTAATTTCCTCTCATTATAACCACTTATTTCTAAATCAGGCAGTTACTACTGGTTCTGTGACTGTGTGCAGGAAAAGGGAGACGATGCAGACGGTGATCCGCATCCTGGAGTCGGTGCAGCTAAACTGGGAGCATTTCCAGACGTGGACCGAGTTCTCCCGGCTGCACCTGTCCAACAAGCTGGCCATCTTTGGCGTGGGCTACAACACGCGCTGGCGCGACGACGTACGCTATCACTACGCCGAGATCAGCTCGCAGGTGCCGCTGGGCAAGCGGCTCCGGGAGTACTTCAACCCGGAGAAGCCCGAGGGCCGGGTCATCATGACCAAGGTCCAGAAGATGAACTGGAAGAACGTCTACTACAAGTTCCTGGACATCACCATCAGCGAGGCGCGCTGCCTGGAGCTCCACATGGAGGTGGACTGGATCCCCGTGTCACGGCCGCCGCTGGCGAGCAGCAAAGGCTTGTCCCACTACCTCCTGCCCGGTTTCGTCCCCAAGACGCACGGCCTGTACGCCATCGGCTGCGAGGCGCTGCCAGCCTGCGACGCCGCCTGCACGCCGCCTCCTCAGACCAACAATGAGGAGGAGAACGACAGAAGCTCGCCCCAGCGGGAGGCGGCAAATGGGTCGGAGCGCGGCGTCAGGACTGGGCCTGCCGTCACTTACTGCTACCTGGGCGTCGCCGAGGACAGGACCATCCAGCAGTGCCTCTCCCAGCACTTTCAGGGACCCGGGAAGCACTGCGCCTACGGGGAGCCGTCCGGCGTGACCCGCTTCCTGCAGGAGAACGGCGGCGCCAGGACGGATCAGCACGACAGAGACTCGCCGCAGCGCTGCGCCGTTTACGTGAAATTCATCGAGGTGGAGCTGGACTTCCTCTCGGCGGGCTCCCTGGTGGAATGCTTGGAAACGGCCGTCGGTTACTCCCTAAGGTTCAACAACAAGGAAACGTCGTAACCACCACCCCGACGGTTTTACAGATGACTCTGCAGCTCTGGTGGTGGCAGCATCATGCTGCTCTTCTGGTTAAGCAGCTTAAAAAAAAAATTAAAGAAAAGGTTAATTCTTTTTGCCTCTGGCTGTCATGAAAACAAGCGTTTGACATGTAAAGTTCATTTGTCGCTGAGAGATGTATTTATGTACGCGTCACCAGTTAAAAGCTGCCCCACCGTAATAAGCTCATGAAGTTATTCAGAATACTAAAATCCTTCAGTTTCGATGCAGAGTTTCATCAGAGTTCAAGTGTTCGAGCTGACAGAGTTTCTAAACGAACAACAGTTCCTGCCTCAGTATGATCTGCAGCACTGACGACGCTTACTATTGAATATTGTGCACTAGGATTCTCCAGCTGCTTGTTAGGTTTTACGTGACATGTCCGATCAGGGAGAGCAGGGCTGGAGGTGTGTGTGTGTGTGTGTGTGTGTGTGTGCGCGCGCGCGCGTGTGCGGGTAGGGGTTACGCTGCAGTATGCATCTGTCTACCTCAGTAGGATGTAGCAAACCAAGCAGTGAGGGACCACAGCTGGATGTATTCAGAAACTGCCTTCACTTGGACTGTTGGTTTGAGTCCACAGAGCATCTGTGGGTAGAGTCATGCCTTATGTTTTGCACATGTGGCGGGTTTAGCAGCAAGAGATGCTTCCACACAAACTACAGAACCGTGACTCCGCGGCCGGATGGCGTGAGCCGACTGTAGGTCCGGACGATGAAGCAGGATTCATTGTTTTTCCAAGACAATGTCCAGCTCAGATTAAGACGTTCGATGTTTACGACGATAACTGATAACTTGTTACAGGCCAGGATTCCAATAACCAATCTGTTCCCTGAGAGAGAATAAATGATAATATTAATAATAATTTAAAACAAAACAACTTCCTAATGAAGTGTCTCTGACGGATCGTTATGCAGCCTGGCTGCAAACATCTGAATCACAAAATGATCAGTTCACCCATTTAACAAATCACAGCCCCGTTCTTTATCTGTACACTAGTCATTCCATTTCCATGTGCTAAGCTATTGTAAATCAGTGTCGTTATAATAAATTAAGGAGGTAAATAATGATAAAACGGTCACATGTCACATTTAAACTCATTTAATTAGATGTTTTGTGTTTCACAATCGTTCCATTTAGGAGTCTACTCACTGCAGTTTTCTGGCCGATCACCGATCTCTTAAAAAGTTTTACCTTTTCGATAAGACTTTTTATTGGTTTTTAGGCCAAAGCCAGTGTTTTTTGTCTGAAATATAGCAAGAAGGTGTCTGAGTTGGCATCAATGGGGTCACTGTTAACTGTGAACGTGCAGATATGAGCTGACCTGAGCAACAGAGGACAGTGGTTGAGTTTTAGACTTTTAGATAAGATCAGCTTCACATATAGTTATCAGCCAATCACAGATCTCTCAAAATGAAGGAAATGGGGGAGGATCCATCGGTGCACCCGTAGATCTACTGGGTGAGTTTTGCATCCCAATTTGTACATTAGACCCCAAATCAACCATTAAAAAATAATATAAGTTGTCAAAGGGAGTATTAAATAGAGGTGCACCAAGAAATCTGACGTATATTTAGTGACTTCACGCAAAAAAAATTGCCAGAATTGGCAGGTCAGGCATTTTAAATATCGGAGATCGGCCAGAAAATGCAATCGATACACTCCTTATATTAAACACAAAATGACTAAAACAGTGCAGTAGTAGTAAAACTGCGCATCCACAGCTGCAACTTGCAACTGTGGATGAAGCTGGTTGAGATGTTTCCTACATTCCTAATAAACCAATTAAACATGAGCACTCCACCAGGAATAATATATATATATATATATTGAAACTATTTTATCTATTTAGAATATTAGTAATCTGATAGATTAAATTGTAAAATCCTGAGATTGTATTGACTCTATAGTAGATAAACATAATAGTGATCTCTGGAACCATAAAATGGTTAAACTAGTTCAAGTAGTTCAGATTGATCTCTTGAAGAAGTGGGCAGAAATTAAAAGAACATTTAAATCCAAAACGAAGCCTGCCTGCCTGCCTGCCCACGTGGAGGCGCTGTTGGGTCAGAACTCGCATCCATTAGGGAACAGCTAAATCCTCTCCTGCATCATTTCTTGTTGCTCTGATGCACATGAACCTGCTGGGATTTGTTCACAGCTTAGTTTGCAGCAACTCAGACCCATAGGGAAAAAAAAAAAAAAAAACCCGGTTCTGGTTCTGAAATAACTAGTTTGGAGCACCCCTTGCTGCGGCCACTGGCTGGTTGGTGATGTAACAATGTAACATTTCAAATGCAGACAACAGGAAACGTCTGCTGCGTTCAGAAGCCGACCCGACAGCGCTGCGGCTCAGTCGGGGCCGATGATCAAGCCGAACCCTTGAAGAGGATCTGCAGGTTACGTGCAATGAATGTGCCAGGAAGTGACTGCGGCACACAGCAAAATGTGGCGTGTCCATATGAATCTATGTAATGTGAAATACCATATAGCTTATATAATATATATTTGAGAACATCGGTGTTCTTGAGCATTCCGGCTTTTGTGAAACTTATTTGTTTGGGACATCAAAGATATCAAGAAAAATGATATTTTTACCTCATTGATTTAATGCCATGTACTGTATGTGCTTGTTTCTAAGTCACCATGTTGTCTGTTTACATGTTTGAAGAACAATAAATGGAGAACTCTCTGTGGTTAGCCACATACTAAAAGTAACCAGTGTGATATTTTTTGGCTTGTCACGATACGTTTTGCTGGACGATAAGTTATCGTGATTAACATAAATGTTGTTTTTGGCGATTATTTGCAAGTAATGTACTGATAGTGGCATAATTGTGCAAGTTCACCTTCTCAAAGAACAATAAGTGTTCTTTACAAAATTAAAGTTTAACACTGGAACTGGAAGGTGTTTTAAATATCCAAAATGAAACACAACGATCCAAAAAACGGGGGGAGGGGGGGAACACACACACAACTGAAATGGTAAAGAAAATTAATTATGAAATCTCTAGACAAAATTACTCTTCAAAAAATATTCATCAGAATGGAAATGATCAATTTATCATTTTAATTTATCATGTGATTAACTGCTTATAGCAGCAGCCTCTGTTATTTAACAGATGAATCTGTTGTGTGACCTAAAATGTGAACCAGAACATTCAAGAATCTGAACTGGGATCAGTCGACTGATAGCTTCTCAACAAAAGGCTGCGAATACAGAGGGTTCCCTGTCTGCAGTGGTGAGAGGACTACATTGTGACAACATGAGAGGAGGCTCCCAGGTTTAGTCACAACACTACCACACAACTAACTGTGTTTTATTGAGACTTTGTGTGACACAAAGTACGTAGTGCATAACTATTTATCTGAAGGAAAATGACAATATGGTTTTCACAACTGTTAAATTCACTTTGATGGAAAGGTAAAACTCAAGATGTCATTCCTCCTTTTGGCCAGGAGATGGCCCTGTGTAGCTGTTGCGGAAGTTTCTTGGTCCAGACCGTTTAACAGCAACATAAAGGCCCAACAGAACCTGCAAACGGTTCACTACAGTAGTCTGATACTCATCTTGTAGGAACTGGTGAGAACGTACAACGTCAAGACTGCATGTTAACGGTGAATCCAGTCCAAAAGGTTTCCCTCTACTGCCCAGAATAGAAAACTTTATGGAACAGTATTAGGTGTGTCTGTCGTAGAATAAAAGAGTAAAAGTACAAGCATATTATGAAAGTTATGTTATTCGAAGGCTGTTTTTCCCCCTTTCTGCTGCATCTGCCACATTTTGTGATCTTAGCTGGAAGTACCCAAATAAAATTCTGCTTGGAGCCCCATGAAGTGCTGGCCCTCATTCCAAGCTATGTAGACTGTAGTAGTTTAGTCAAAATATTGGAACTCCATGTTGCTGTTCCTCTATTTCTTATGCAGACCATCTTTCTGAGGCCTAGATTGGTTCTGAGTCAAATATGTGTTATTCCATTTGTATGTTTATTCCGTTATCAGGTCCTGTTGAAACTTGGGATGCACAGAACCATTCTTTTTCACTTCCAATACCGATACATATATATGAAGTTTCATATTGGCTGATACAAAATAACAGTACTGTACTGACTAAAAAAGTTTCTTCTTTTTTTTTAACAGACTTAAATGTATTGAATAATAAATGTATTTGATAACTCTGCATCATTAGGCTCTTGATTTCACCAATAGCTTCACGAGCTTGATAAAACATGTAAAAACAACAAAACTATCTTTAAATTGTTCATCAGTGCAATTGGAGTACAACGGTCAATGTAAAGCAAATAATAAAGAAATTGAAGCCGACAAAAACAATAGTCAAACCTGGAAAAAAAAAAAAAAAAAAACTTCAACAAATCTTCTTCCAGATGGTTCAGAAAGTGCAACTAGAAATTCTAAATATAAAAAAACAATACATAATAAAGCCTGACGTTGCTCAGAGTACAAAGCATAGAACTAAACTGAATGGATCTGCTCTTATGGATCGGGAACATCGTCACCGATCTTACCACTGCAGACCGATATAGAATTTTTTTCAATATCGGTTCAGTTACATATATTAATGTTGCATCTTTGGTTGAAAAATGCCTTCTCAAATCAACAGGCACGTTCTTCCGGCTTCTGCTTCTGAAAATTTCCAATTTAGAAAGAAGCACCGAGGCCGTTGGCAACAATACAACCGAATCTCATTCCCACATGAACTGGACTCTGCTACTTTGGATTTAATCACGGCATAACCCTTGTTGACCTCGCATAAATGAGCAGTCCACCTGTGTTAGCCTCAGCATTGTTGCTGAGGCAACAGAGTAACCCCAGAAAATGAAATAAGGAGGACTGACCACTTGGCCGAGCACAGGTCAGTCCATATTTTTCTATCGGGATGGTGAGCTCACCTTGGGAATTCACGTCAAGCCGAGTCCAGTCTGTTTGCTTTGCTTTAAGCCTAAACCTCTTCACACATGATGGAACAGGAAGTGGACATTTTCAAGGAGAGATGAGAGGAGAGGATCAGGATTTAGTTGTGAGGTTTTGGAAAATAGGCTTAGAGTTTAAAAAGCTTGTGCCATGGCATTTAAACTAGATGAGTAGCGTGTAAATATGCCTGTCTAGAATTTCAGTACGAGCAAATTCTTCTTCTTTTCAGTGACCAGTTTGGGTCGAAGCATGTCAGCAGGGAAATAAAATGCTATATCTGTAGTAGAAAAAAGCTTCAAACAAACACGTTTTAACCAAAAATGAATCAGACTCAAACATAAGCCTACGATTTACGTTAAAGTGCGACTTTCTGTGTGTACACAAGCTGGTTCTGATATTATTTTCTGTCTGCTGAGCCATCAAAAACAAACACCATGTATTTGGTGTATTCTAACATGTTCACACTAAACTGTAAGTTTTAATTCAATAAGTTTCATGTTGAAAACATTTGATTTGGAAAAGTGTTTCTTCTGCCTGAAATTATTCTGTAATTACTTGTTTGAAATTCTTATTATTCTTAAAAATGAAGTCTTTAAGATGCCTGAATTTTCACATAATTTTACGTTTTTGTCTGACGATATTTTAAAAATATTAAATCTACGGTCAGCACTGGGTAATTTCAATTAACTAATTACATACATTTTAACGTCTAAAAAAGAGAACTCAGTTTAATTGCATTTCATTCTGTTTTTTTTTTTGTTGTTTTTTTTTACATACAAACACTTTCGCAGGAGCCTTTGTATCTAAAAATATGTAGGAAACACTTTGCACTACTCAGACTGTTGAATAACCCAAATAATAGATTAAAAACACTAAATATCTTTGTTGCTGAGCTCATATTGATTCGAGAATTTAGCAGCGACCACGGTTTTTGAACTGAAAAGGTTGCTTGTTTTGTCTATACATGGTGATTAATTACCGTACAATTAACTCGATTAAAAATTTTATTCGAGTCCCATGACCAATTAAATCAGATGTTATGATCAGTTTTTCAGAACTTAAGTTTACTTACCAAATACTTTTTTATGGCTCTGCTGTCCTTTTACTCCTACTTTGGCTGCTCTGTCCTCCTGTGGTTGACGGTATCTGTTACACCTGTTCTTGGCGCTGAACCACAGAACAGGTGCGACTCGTCAATTTTAGCTAGGTTTGGACCAGAAGGACGGATGTTGATCATTTTTGCTGACAAAATAAAAGCATCTCATTTAATCCTCGGCTTGTAGTGACTCTTTATAATAGAGCTGCTTTATTTTGAAGGGCTAATGTGGAAAGCGTTTTGGACACTCAGGCTAGCAGTACGACTGACTCGCAAAGGTATATCGGCTCTTTTCCTCCGGACCGGGTCTCTCCGGCTCCCCACCCCAACCTCACCCCCCAGCCCTCCCTCCCAGGAAGGGACTGAATGACAACTTGCAGAGTTGTTCTCGCTCGAGCAGCCGGAAGGAGGGATTTACCGGGAAGAGTGCGTAAAGAGGAGGGAGAACAAGAGTCGCGAAGGACAGTCAGTGTCGGAGGTGTGGGTCCAGGATTGACTTGACTTTTCTCCGGTCCGTCCCTCCTTTAGAATCCCCGCTGTGGAGACATCCGACGGCTTCCCGTCGTCCTCACCCCAAGTGTCCCTTACGTGTCTGCGCGAGGAGCCGCGGAGCCTGAGGTGAAGCAGAGATCCTCTGAGACCAGCTGAGGGACACCAGGACAGAGGATCATGGAGACCTGCTCTACTTCAAGGAAACTTACTTTGCTCTCCTTTCTCCTGGGGCTCTCGGGTAAGTGTTTTTTTTTTCTTCATTTTTTTTCATGCTTTTTTATTTTTTATTTTATTTTATTTTTATTTTATTTTATTTCTCCAATTCCCCAAATGAAAAAAGTGGGAAATTCCTTAAAATAACTCAAATTATGGCTCAGGAGTGCGAACGTTGTGTTGATTTCTTTCAAGGTGACTTTCATAGAGCGCTCAGAGTGAGTTTTGACAACTAAACCAGATTTTGTTTTCATCCGCTGAATGAGCACTAAGTGTGTTTCTCAGCAGAAAGCCCAGTTTGCACTGAGCTCCCCTTCCGCTCACACACGGGCTGCGGTTCTGGTGTGAGCAGATGTGAAGAAGCAAGCAGCAAATGACTGACAGCTCGGTGTTTCTGGAGCTCTGTGTGAGCCAGGAGCGGGCTGGGATTTAAGGCTCAAACACCTGTTTGTTTTCCACTGGATTTAAAACAAGTGTGTTACACATGATTATGTCTCCCATGGGGGAATAATCCCCTTATATCTGCTCCAACGTTGGCTCACCGTCCCTCTGGCTCCAGCGCCTGCATTCAACTCCTATGCTTTCCCTGATGGCTGTGCTGAACACGCATTTTTGGTCCTCCAGAGCAGAAATTGGGACAAATCGGACAATGTGCAGCTGGTTCTACTAGAGCTCTCGTAGTATCTAACAGTTCATACAAAGTTTTGCGTCATTCGAAAGTGTAGAAGCCACCGCTCTTCTGTAAAATCACCAACTACAACTTCCCCAAAACGCTGCATACTCCGCTCCAACGCCATATTAAGATGCCCAGATGTTTTCTCCTGGCTGATGGATGCGCGATGGCTAAACTATGAATATATTTCATGTAACTATTTACATCCTTTGCTGCCATGATTGTTTAATGACTTGTTGCCTGAACAAGTTTATTCTTTATCTTGACAAAATTCATATTTTGTCAAGATTTGCAATGGAGGCTCTGACCCTCTGCAAGAAAGGTTCTAGTGGAGAAAATGTAGCAGTTTCTGTTTCTCTGCAGGGGATTAGTGCAAATCACTCAGATGGTTTTCCAATAAGGAACCTGGGAAGTAAATAAATAAATGCTTTAGATTTGTCACCAACAGAGACAGCAGGGATATTTAAAACTTTTTGTCCAAGGTGTCTGGCTACCTGTATGGTGTATCTCCTTCAGCCAGAGTTGCTTCGGGTGAGTATATGTGTGTGCGTCAAGAGGCAGGGTGGTGACTTTCACACACCCTGTGTGTGTGTGTGTGTGTGTGATGCGTGAACGCAGGCTCTCTCCTGCTTGGAGCCGGAGTTTGATTCTCAGCGGTGTTGCCAAAACAATCCCATGAGCTGACATGGGCAACAACCTCAGGGCCGCTTGTTCCTCCCTGGTTGGGGCATGAGGGAGTAAAACATGACAAACGGTTCCATTTGCGCACCCAGACCCAGCGCGAGTTTGTGGTTCAGGGCAGTTCTCTGGTATCTTGTCTGTCGTTTTAATTGCAGGCCGTGATTCAGTGTCAGCAGACAATGGGACAATAAAAGTTCGGCGCTCGCCTTCGAATGCCCTGCAGGTGTGTCCTGAAAAATACTGGGCAGTCTGAATGGAGGCAGGAAACGGTCATGAATAGCAGGCAGTGGTGAGGGGAAAACAACAGGCTCCTGAAGTCCCTGATGGGGCCGAACCTGGAGCAGGAAGTGAACGAACATCCTCCTGCTAGCAAGAAGTGGTCCCGGTTAGGGGCTCAGTTTGAGAAGAAGCTTGTTTCAGTAGAAACTTGGAGAGGGAAATGTATTTGTTTCATTTAGGAAAAAGAAAAAGTGAAAGACTAATTTGTTTTGATAACCAACTTTGTTTTTTTGTGTGTGTGGGTGTATCTATTTCTAAGTTTACAGATTGCACTTGAATGCAACAGTAAATCTGCTGTCCGTTTCTTTTCAGTCAAATATACATTCCTGATTTAAGCTGATTCTACTGGATGTGAGGAAAAAGTGACAAAGTTTTCACACTCTTCTGTCACATTTTGACTCTTTTATAGTAAAAAAAAAAAAAACATATCTGTGCATAAGCCAAAGAACAATGGGAAGTAGTTTTCTAAACGTTTTGCATTTGGAAAACCAAAAATCTGAAAAGTGTGGTGTGCACTTGTGTTCATAACCCTTAGGCAATACTTTTGAAACTTTTTTTTTTTTTTGTCTACTTCTCTTTCCAAAATAGCTGAAGTTCAGTCTGATTGGATGGAGAAGATCTGGGAATAGAACATTTCAAGTCTTGACACAGAACAGGATTCCTATGTCATGTTTTATTTGCAGTTTTGTAGAAATTGTTGTAGGACCAAACCTGTTCTGATCTGTCCTGTTCCTTGATTGAACCCCAACAGGTGGATTCTTCCTGCTGACACAGGACTGTGGGTCTAACCCACACAATTCTTTAAACTATGTGAGTGGAATGTGACAATGTGCAAGAACCTTTAAATTCAAAGGTTGAATTCATTTGCAATGCACACTGATCTAACATACCATTGCTCTCTGTTTACTCAAATTAAATAGCATGACTCTAGAACTTAAGCTCTACTAACAGAGAAAGTGGTTTACTAATTAACCTGTCCCTTTATGTTGGGAGAAAAAAAACAAACATTTATAGTGAGCAGGGTTTCAGCGCATTCAGTTGCAAAAGCTTTTCACTGGCTGTCTACATCCCTCAGTCTGATCTATTTGTTTTATTTTGCGGTGATAAAATTAGTGAGAAAAAAATACTATAATTGCAAAAAGTACAGTGGCAAACTTATGCGCTCCATGCTAGCAACCTCTACTTCCTGTCTATTACAGCCATGTGCAGAGTCGACCTCTGATGATATTACGGTGTGCGTAGATTCAAGCCAGTAGAGGGTAACATGCCTAATTTACAGCATCTTTTTGAAACATTTTCAAAATTCCCTCAAAATTTGCATGACAATTAGATGGAAACATAGCTAATATCACCCCACATTCAGATGCTCCAAGTGAGAGGAGGTGACGCTTCTGAGCATATTTGATCCTATCAGGTTAACGCTGTGGTCCATCTCTGAGCTTCGCTACAGCCTTTTGTTGAAGTCATTATTATTTTCCATGACTTACTCTGTCATTAACTCTCAGTGGGTTCACCTTTTCATATGAATGTTTTCAGCATAAAGCTGAACACAAGATTCTCAGCCTCACAAACCCATTAGGATTATCTCTGTGAAGTAATGTTCAGGGTCAGCTAATTTGATTACAATATCTCTGGTTCAACAAGCACTGGGCCTAATTATATTCCTTATTCTAACTGCCTAAATATTCTGGCCTCATGTCAGGCCCTCCAGGCGTGTCTCTACCAGCGTCGCATATCTACAGGCTGATGTTCTCTCATAACTATCGAGCTCCAGAGCAGATAGAAATCTTTTGTTAACTTAAATATATATATACATATATTTTTATCACAGATTCTGCATTAAATTTAGATCTGGACTTTGACTCATAAATATGCTTTAATTCTAACTCTTCCTTTGCAGTTTTGGCTGTATGTTTGTAGTACATGAAATAATCTGTGTGGATCTTTACCGCCATTGAAGAACGGCACAAATTTGGTCCTCCAGCAAATGGATCCAACAAAGATGGGAAAACAGCGCTTTTTCTTTCTTTGCTCTTTTTATTTAGTCATTTCAGATCATTCGCACACATTCAATAACTTTTTACTCCAAAATGGATTCATCAACATTCAGCTAAATACAGCAGCAACGGCTCTCTGAGAAACTTCTTGTTTTTTTGAATGAAAACATTTCCTGGACCAACAAAGTAGAAAACATCTGACCCAAAACGTTAAGAAACTGAACATCTTTCTTTATTAAAGCAAACATCTGAGACCCCTTTTTTTTAACCGAAGATTTTTTTTTCTACTTTTTTTTTTTATTAAAATATTGCAGCTTTATTTATTGCTAAGCAGTTAGCATTTTTAATTGGAAAAAAAATGGAAAAATCTTTGGACACCACTGGTTTAGGGTGATTGTCGTGCTGGAAGCTGAAACTCCAGTCAGTCTTAAGTCTCTCAGACCTCTAAATGCTTCATCAACCTCTTCATCAACTTTAACCTTTAATCTAAATGAAGAAATGAATTTCTACAGCATAATGCTGCCACCACCAGATTTCACTTTGTTGATGATTTGTCCAGATTGACATGCAGTTTTCTGTCGCACAGTGTTAAGTCACAAAGTCAATATTGGTCTCATCTGAGCAGAAGATCTCTTTTCACATGTTGGCGGCTATGTTGATATATA